TGACAGAACAAATTAAAACACAACAAGAAAGAAAAGTTTGTAGTTAGCTCAAGGATCGCTGGCCTTTAGGAGTGTTTTCCAGTCCAGTCTGTTGGGGCACCACGCCCTGGCCCCAAAGTCCACCTTCAGCATTCCCTGGGGACTTTGCTGCTCCATTCCGTTGCTGTGACTATAACTCTTTATAGGTGTAGAAAACCTCAGCTTTTGCCCATGGAGCAGCTGACCTTGTGGTTTGTTACCTAGCTTGTAACCCACTTTGACATCAGCCCTGCTTTTCTTTACATATTGCAATATAATGGCTTTTTCAAAAGTCCTGATTATTATCAAATTAATATAAAGCAATATAGTTAATTATATAATATTTCTATTTTTCTATAGAATTCTTCCTATATGCTATTAGCCCCACGTTTTGGAGCCCTGGTGGCATAATGGTTAGAAATTAAGCTGCAAAGCACAAGGTCACCAGTTCGAAACTTTCAGTCATTCTTTGGGTTAATGACAAGGCGTTCTCCTGTGAAGTGCTAGTCTCAGAATCCCACAGAGGTAGTTCTCTCCCATCCTATGGGTCAGAATCTTTGGATGGCAGCTAGAAAAAGATTCAGATTCAACTCATCATTAAAATGAAAGATTTGTACATCGACTTATCACCCACAAATTATTTTCTTTCTTTGTGTCTCTGTAGACCTGATCACTATGTAGTTATATGTACAGTTTTCAAAAACTCAACATTCTTTTTAGTATTTTTGTAAGTATTGAAGCTAGGATTTTAAAATGATAACAATATTATTCACATGCCTGGCTTATATGGTAAGTCTGATATAGCTGGCTATTGTTTTTAGAGTTCTTTAATAAAAATAATGCTTTTATATATAATCTTTGTAAAGGTAATTTCTTTTTATTAGATTATTGTATATGATAGATTCCCTAGGCATGTGATTATAGCATCATAAAGAAATTCAACTTTACAATCTTTGAGACTATGATCTTTCTTTCTCCTTTTGCCAATTATATTTCATCATTTTAATCATTACTGAGGTAAATTTTCTCCCCTGGATTTAATGCTTCTATGTCTTATGTGAATTACCATCTATATTTCATGTCTGTTTATCCGCTGGGATTTTTACATGCTTGTATAAATTCACATTCCTTTATCATCAATCAATAAACTTTCCTTTATATTAGTGTCCTTTTATGTTGATTTTTTTTAAGCATATAGAAACTTAAAGGAGCCTGGTGGTGCCATGAGTGGCTCTGTGGCACAGTGGGTTAAGCATTTGGACTGCTAAGCAAAATGTTTGTGGTATGAATTCACTAGGTGCTCTGTGGGAGAAAGATGAGGCTGTCAGCTTCCATTAAGATTTACGGTCTTGGAAACCCCAGGAGGCAGTTATACTTTATTTTATAGCGTCACAATGACTTTGACTCGATAATGAAAATGGGTTGGTTGATTCATATGTTTGCACTTAAATATTGATGATTTCTTTCTTTAAAAAAAATCTAATGTATTTAAAAATTTCATTGATATGCAATTCACATGTCATATCTTTCTAGAGTTCAATCACATTCATAAGAGTTGTGTAACCATCACTGCAATCAACTCCAGTGCATCTCTTCTTCCTTGTCCTTGGTGTTGTTAGTTCCCCATTTCTTTTCTTTAAAAAAAAACAACACTTTATTGAGGGCTCTAGTATATCTTGTAACTATCCATACATCAATTTTCTATTGGGCCTTTGGTGTCAGCTCCTCTCACAGCCTCCTTGTGGCTCTTTGATAAATTATAAATTATTATTTTTGTTTCGCACACTGACTGCTGTCTCCTTTCCACCACAATTTCTGTTGTTTGTCCCCCGGGGGATGTAGCGGGTACAATTATGTGTCAATCATCGCAATTGGCCCCCCCTTCCTTCCTTTGCCCACTTTCCATCTGACTTCCTGGTAGCTCCCCATTTCTTGCCAGTGCCCCCTGTCATGCCCCTTTCGAATCTATTGATCATTATTGTCTACAGGTTTCCTTAATCTGGGTTTCATATACAGAAAATCAATCAAAATCAAGACAAACAGCCCAACAAAAATGACACAGTGAAAAAGGGAGGGGGGCTAATTTATAACAGCAGAAAATATTAAAAACGAGCAATTATACGTTGAATCAAGAGGGAGATCACTGACAGGTGTCACATTTTAACCTAACTATAGCTGCAGTAATCTACCTTGCAATGCACTCTGTCTGGCAACAAGTCCTTTCCCTTATCTGATCTATAGTGGTTTATCTGATTCACTAGTGGTTTAATCTACATGGGGGACTCTGAAAATGGATTTTGGACTTTCACTGCCATCCACAGTCTTTTGTAAACCAGGTGATCAGAATTTAAGCTCTACTGCCATTCCAGGTTTGAGTTTTATTGTTTACAAATATTCGATCACACATGCTAGTGTCCTTTTCCATGTGGACTTAGCCAAGGTCTTATTTATATGGCTGATTGTTTTAAGACACGCCTTTATAAGACCCTCCAGATGCTATTATTACTAATAGCCAGGTACCATCTGCTTTCTTCACACTTGTTGCAGCACCTATAACTTAAGTGATCACTTCATACGGATTAGGTAAGCAGGCCATGCCATAAGAACTAATGATTCTTACATTGGGATATTATTAAATAGGCACTCAAAATCTATTCATGTATCTATGGTGTATGTAAGTCCCTGGGTCAATTTAAAGGCATCATTATTATTTTATTGACGGATGTTATAAATTACCCCATGGGGCATATAGTAAGTTGTTCTACTGATACCATTAATTTAGCCACTGGTATAGAATTTAAAACACTGTTGAGACAAAGAGTGAATACATCCATGACATTTTTTTAAGACCATAGTACAGGGCCTGTTGATTGTTAATGATTATCAATTTAAGTGACTGAACAGTACATTTACATTGAGGGTTGAAGCTAGGGCTTCAATTAATGCTTTTTCACAGAGTCAGAGAGAGTCATTTGAGCCTTAGGTATGTGAGTTTTTCAGTTTCTTTAATCGGCTGCCGGTGTGTGAAGGTTAAGTCCGGTTCGTTTACTGGGATTTCCAAATATAATTCTTCTATTGTGTCTATGAAGGATGCTGTGTGTCCTTGGAACGACAGTCAAGTCCTGGTTGTCTGTTAGTACATGACACTGTTTTCTTTTTTCTTTTTTTTTGAGTGAGACAGTGAGGCAGTGAGTGAGTGAGAGAGTGAGTCAGTGAGTCAGTGAGTGGGTGAGGCAGTGAGACAGTGAGGCAGTGAGTGAGTGAGACAGTGAGAGAGTGAGCGTGAGAGTGAGACAGTGAGTGAGTGAGGCAGTGAGGAGTGAGAGTGAGTCAGTGAGTGAGTGAGAGTGAGTCAGTGAGTGAGGCAGTGAGACAGTGAGACAGAGTGAGACAGTGAGTGAGTGAGACAGTGAGTGAGTGAGAGTGAGGCAGTGAGAGAGTGAGACAGTGAGAGAGTGAATCAGTGAATGAGTGAGTGAATTAGTGAGTTAGTGAGTTAGTGAGTGAATGAGACAGTGAGTGAGTGAGACAGTCGACACTGTTTTCTAAGTACTACTGTTTTTCTCTTTTTTTAGGCACCCAACCGGAGGATCCTTTATTCGTCCCAACAAGGTTAATTTTGGAGTAGACTTTCTTACTGCACTTAAGAAACGCTATGTTTTAGAAGATGGACTAGAGGAAGTTAGAGAAGAGAAAATTACTACAATTGGAAATAAACCTGTAGAAACAATTGGTTTTGACTCTGTTGTAAAACAGCAAAGGTAAGTGGAAATGATAACATTTACAGTTTCATCATGGTTCAGAATTTGAATTTACATGACCATATATCACATTCCCATTTTCCTTTCTGCACAGTGTATTGAAATCCTAGGAATGCAAGGACTATGTATTCAAGGAAATTAAAATCTTTATTTTCATATAAATTGGGATTTTTGTGTGGATTGGAATCAAAATAAAGATTTAAGAATAGAATAATTGTCTTTCAGGTTAAGATTTACAAAGCAGAGTTAGCCCAATAGTGGTCACTGGATTTGTGGGTGAGGGATAATTTGGTTTTAAAGTCCCAGAGATCCCTGTGTACCTGACATACATACACATACACTCACACATATGTTGTGATCCCTCTATTTTCTGCCCTGCCTCAGCGTGTTTTCCGGTGTGCCTCAGTCCCCTGGGTTGCTTCCTCCCCCTTAACTGCATGTAAATGCTGGCCTGCGCTTTTGATGATCACCCTGCCCAAACCACTCTTGGCTGCTCGGAACTGACCTGGCACTGCTGTGTGTGACCAGCCTGTGCCCAAGTCCCCTGTATTACTCTGTCCCATGCTGCAGCCCATGAATGCCAGCCCGCCCTGAGTGTAATCAGCTCGCGGTTTGCAACCGGCGTAGTGCTGCTGAACGTAACTGGTGTCTATGACTGACCTGTGCCCTGATCCCCTGGGTTGCTCCCTGTCACTTGTGCCCCATAAAGGTCGGTCTGTGCTGTGTGCAATCAGCTTGCCCAGTGCCACCCTCGCTGTTCCTAATAGACTTGGCATTCCTGATCACAACCAGTGCCTGTGACTGGCCTGTGCTCAGGTCCCCTGAGTTGCTACTTCCCCACTGCTGTGTGGCTGTGAATGCCAACCCATGCTGTGTGGCATTGGCCTGCCCAGTGCCACCCTCACTACCCGTGACCATCTTGCCCATGCTGTCTGAGAGCACCACCTGCAATGCCCTCCAAATAGATAACCCCGGCTGTCTAGAGAGAGAGTCAACTCCAGTGAGACAGAGCTGCAGTTCAAACCTGCAGCATAGCTGGCTCTGGGTAGTGCTTAGAATCATTCTTAATAGCCTCAGAGGAAGAAAACACAGGGCTCCTAGACTTCCAGGAAAATGGTGCCAAGCTCCACAAAATTGCCATGCAGAAAACAACCTACATCAGCAGCCACTACAAGAAAACGAGAAACAAATCCCAATGTGTCAGGATGACTTGCACCTAGTGATATACATTGAAGATGCAGACTTTGAACCGCCAGATAGAAATCTTCAGAATGCTGCTTAGAGTTATGCAGGATATGAGGGAATCCATACAGAAACAGGATGAAAAAATAGGCTAGGTCCACATACCAAAGGAAAATAACAAGAGTTAAGGAATGATGCAGTAGAAACAAAGATGGTAAAAAACATTTGTTTGTGTACCCTTTGTCTTCAGCCATTATGCCAGGAAGGTGAGCATCTCAGACTGCCGAATTGTTAGGAAAAAGTGTTCTTGTGTTGAGGGAGTACTTGAGTAAGGGCCCACTGTCTATCTGTTTCCTTAATGTTAAACTTATAAATATATGTACATAGATCTATTTCCCCCTTGTCGTATATAAATATATTTATATCTGTATATGCCTGTATTTAGATCTCTATAAATGCCCTTTGCCTCTTAGGTCTTTCCTCTATTTCTTTGTACTTTCCTCTTGTCCCACTATCATGTTCAGCCTTCATTTGGGTTTCAGGAATTCCTTTTGGTTACATTGTCCTTGATCCAACCTGCCAGACCTCCTACATCCTCCTTGCCACTGATTTTGGATCACTTGTTGTTCCCTTGCCCCTGGGTTTGTTAACATCCACTTCCTTTCCCCTGCCTCCCCCTCTCTCATGTCCCCATGGAACTGTTATCCCGTTGTTCTCTCTTCCGGCTTGTTTATCCTGCCTGTCCCTTTCAGGTAGACATGCAGCGCCTTGTCCTGGTTTCTATTTAACATCGTCCCGGAGGTCCTAGTTAATAATATAAGGCAATGGAAGGACATCAAAGGTATACATTTAGGGAAAGAAGAGTGAAATTATCATTTGTGGATGACATGATTTTATATAGAGAGAACCCCAAAGTCTTCACATTAGGAATGCTGGAAATGATAGAGGAGTGTGGTAGAGTTGCAGGATGTATGAGCAATAAACAGAAGTCAATTGGACTGCTATACACCACTGAGGGGAATACAGAAGAAGAATCAAGTGCTATACAGCACTGAGGGGAATATAGAGAAAAAGATATCAACAAGGTAGTACCCTTCACAATAGCAAAGCATAAACTGAAATATGTAGAAATATGCCTTAAAAAAGAAAAAGATCTGTACAAGGAAAACTACAGAACATTAGTACAAGAAATCAAAAGGGACCTTCACAAATTGAAGAATATCCCATGCTTGTGGATTAGAAGACTCAATATTATAAAGATGTCAGTCCTTCCTAAGGCAATATATAAGTTCAGTGCCATCATGATACACTTTCCAGCATCATTTTTCAAAGTAATGGAAAAACTGACTACCAACTTTGCATGGAAGGAGAGGAATCCCAGAATTAGCAAGTAACTCCTCAAGAAGAAGAACAAAGTGGGTGGGCTTGCATTACCTGGCTTTAAAAATTGTTATATAGCCACAGTTGTCAAAACAGCACAGTACCAGTATAATGATAGAGACTGGGACCAAGACTCAGATAAGAACAGAAAATCCAGAAATACAAACAGTAGCCTATAGAGAACTGATCTTTGACAAGGCCCAACAGATATCAAATGGGAAGCAGATGCCCTTTTCAACAAATGGTGCTGGAAAAACTGGATATCAGCCTGCAGAAGCATGAAACAAGACTCTTACCTCACTCTGAAAACAAGAACAAAATCAAGGTGCATCACAGACCTTGAGGTAAACCCCCAAACTATCAGGATTATCAATGAGAAAATTGGGACAATGCTAAAATCCTTAGTGCATGGGCTATCAGAAATAAGGAAGGATACACACCCAGAGGAAGAAAAAATAGATGTGTGGGACCTACTAAGGATTAAACACTTAGGTACACTGAAAGATTTTATCAGGAGAGTAATGGGAGAGCCCACATCCTGGGAAAAGATATTTAGTAATGACCTATCAAAGGGCTTTATTACTAAAATTTACAGAGTCCTGCAAGCTTACAAAAAAAAAACCAAACCAAAAACGAATAGCTCGGTGAGGAGGTGGGCAGAAGATTCACAAAGGAGGAAATCTGAATGACCAATAAACATATGAGAAAATGTTCCTTATCCTTAGCCATCTGAGAAATGCAGCAGATACCTCTACACCCTGAACATCACTGACAAGGAGAATTCCGAGAAGGTGAAGCAGTCCCTGCCCCCTGGTCTGGCAGTGAAGGAGCTGAAATGAACCGGGCTGGCTGATGTGTACTCTTAACAACATTTTTTTAAATTAACCAAAAAACCCTGGTATATACACACAATAGAATACTATGCATCCCTAAAATATGGTAATGAATGTATGAAACACCTCAAGGAAAGAGTTGAAGTATATTATCCTGAGTGAAGTTAGCCAAGCACAAAAGGTCGATTTCACCGAGGTAAATGCAAACAGCAGAATGGTCATAAGGAGAATCTCACGCAACATACAACGAGTATGATATCAAGGAGTTCAAGAAAAATGCTTTGAAACAGATGTGGTAGCATTTGTACAGTACTGCCTGATGTGATTGAACTATGGAATGTTATGATATTTGTAAGTGCTCCCAATAAAATGATTAAAAAAAAAAGGTTTATACAGCAAATTAGCTTCACATTTTTTTTCTTTTTTAAAAATTATTTTTTAATCATTTTATTAGGGGCTTACACAACTCCCATCACAATCCATACATACATCAATTGTGTAAAGCACATCCCTACATCCATTGCCCTCATCATTCTCAAAACACTTTCCCTCCACCCATGCCCCTGGCATCAGGTCCTCATTTTTCCCTCTCTACCCACTCCCCCCTCCCTCATGAGCCCCTGACAATCCACAAACCATTATTTTGTCATGTCTTGCCCTGTCCGACGTCTCCTTTCACCCACCTCTCTGTCATCCGTCCCCCAGGGAGGAGGTCACATATAGCTCCCTGCAATCGGTTCCCTCTAGCTTCACATTTAACGCTTTAAAAATTCATCTTTTATTGGGAGCTCTTACAGATATAACAATCCATAATTTTTTTTTTTAATAGCTGATTTTCAAGTTATAATTATTCTGATTAACATTTCTTTGTGCCATGGAAGATAATCATTTAATTAAATGTATAAGTATATGTAAGTATTTTAAATA